TTTTTTTTCTTATTTCCCGATTTAACTGAACTTATATGCTGCTTGTGCTTTTGCTTATTTGTATGCATTACATTGTAAATTTCGTTGTTTTTTTTTCCGCCTTATATCTGATAATATTTGCATTTTGTTTGTTTGTGTATTGTCTATGTTGCATGCTATGTAGGACTGTTCTCGAAACTTCGAAGTCTCAATCTACTATCGGAACCATTTGATGACCAACAATTCTTCGTTAATGAAGATGAATTCGAACAGACAAACAACACTGCAGGTGATCTGAATCAAATCAGTTTAAGAACGAAAATAAGAATAATAAAAAGATTATTTTGCATGTGCATGTCAAAAAAAAAATTTTTTTTGATTTTGTTCTTCTTCTTTTTTTTTAATTAATTAATTTAATTTACGAATGATATTGATTTTTAAATAGATGTAGCAGCTAGTGATGATGATGATGATATGTCAACAAATGATGTGTAAGTTAGAAATATTTATTTTGATAAAATTATAATTGAACTTTTGTTTTTGTAGAAAAAATGCAGAAGTTTTTTATAAAGAAACACAAAATGAAAATATTGATATATCAGATGTGGATTCATCAGCAGATTTATTTGGTAAATAAAATTAATTATTTGAATTTTTTTTTTTTTTCTGTTTATTTTTATTTATCTCTTGTGTTTTTAATTCTTATTCAGTTCGACAAAGTTTTTACGGTGAGAATTTCTTGTTGTAAAATGGGACATAGGAAGTTTCTTGTTTGTTTTCTTTTTTTTTCTTTTTATTAATGCTTGGATAGATCTAATACTAATATTTTTGTTTTGTTTTTTGAATATTTATATATTAGCTATTATATTTTGTTTTGAATAATTTAGGTATGACAAAAGAAGTATCAAATTTAATTAAAGAAAATAATGAACTCCTTGAAACAAAGTATGTAAAACTACAAATAATAATAAAGAAAATATGTTTATATTGTTTTATTTGAATAGGAATGCATTGAATGTACTTAAAGATGATTTATTAGTAAAAATTGAAGAATTATCAAAGTAAAATAGAGTTCTTTACTATGTATATTTCATAAATTACATATTTTATTTTAAGTGAACAAGAAATTCTTCGAGAAGAAGTTAGTTCATTACAAACAGTTAAAAGTCGATTACAATCGAGGTAGAAAAAAAGATAACAAGAAAATTTTCTAATGACTAAAAAAAAAAAAATTTCATATTATAGAATAACCGAAGTTGAAGATGAACTTCGTAAAACACGTGAAGAACTTGAAAAAAAGAAAAAAGAAGAAGAGGTAAGATTAAAAAAATGTCTTCGTAAGCATGAAGAACCAAAAAAAAAAGAATTTGCATGTATACTTAACATAGTAATACTCTCTAATAGATTCTTGAGTTTCTTTGGAATGTAAGTTTATTTTACAAAAAAGTTTAATCTTTTTGCTGCTCTATTATCAATGAATAATTAGATTTATTTAAATGATTGCTATGATATTTTTATGTAATAAATTGTTTTGTTTTTTTTTTATAATATATTATATTCTATCAGGAAGATGTACCGATGGCAGATAGAAAGCGTTTTACTCGAGTTGAAATGCAACGTGTTCTTCTTGAACGTAATCAATACAAACAACGTTTATTTGAACTTGAAGAAGCTATTCATTGGCAAGATGCTTTACGTGCATCCAAACATGAACAAATGCATCCATCAACAACCATGCATGCGATGGGTGATAATGCATTTGATCAGACACAAAACAAGAAAAGAACAACATTTTGGAAACTGTGAGTTAATATTAACAAAAAAAACAGATTTTATAATGAAATTGGAAAATTTGTGTTGTACCCTCAATTATTATAGAAAACTATTCTCGCATTCTATCTATCCGTTCGGTACATTTTTCATTTTATTAGATATTTACTAATGTATGCATGAAATGACCAAGCTTATGCCGCAACAAAAAAAAAACGAAACCTTCGAACAGACATCTTTTTTTTCCTTATAGACAATTTCGATGAAAAGCAAAGGTACACAAACAAAAATACATTATCAACAAATAGTAGAACGAAATTCTTCACCTTCATTATCAACAAATTCTTCTAAAACTTCATCAAAACCTTTGTGGCGTATGTTCAGTAATAACTGGTTACCCACAAATGCTTTCATTTCACGTGCTGGTGCTATACAGAATGATATAAGAGAGGGTACAACACAAATGTCTGTGTTGTAAGAATAAAAAAAGAACCATTAACTATTATGATTTATTTTATTAGAATAAATACATTTTTTTAATTTATTTTTTCTTATTTCTATTCAATTTTCTAGTTTTTCGGGATTGTTTGGTACTGGTGTTAAAGATATTCCACCAAAACGCACAGCTACAACTAATCTATCTTCACTTTCTACAACAGTTAAACGTAGTCCAACCAATGATCAAATAACACCAATCATCAATAGACAAGAAAATACAACAGATGAAACCCATCCATTAGAACGATCAATATCGGACAGGTTTGATTTTTAAAAAAAAATATCTAAATGATAAAAAATTCTGATAAAGTTTATTTCAAGAAAACTTGAACATATCCATTTTCTATTCTTTACAATGATTATTAGTCTGTTTTAACATAGACATATGAAAAAGTATTGACTCTTTCAGTTGATTAGCATATATCTTTCTAAGCATATGAAAAAAATATCGAAAAAACTTCAAGAAAGCCTCCATGAAATGTTTCGTTACCTCATGATGTACTGTATATAGTTTTACGACTACCTCAAGTCCGAATTTCTTAAACTAAAATGCATGAAGTAAGAGTCGATGCCACTTAACAGTAAATTTCTACTGACAAATCCTGTGCACCAAGGCCTCTCGCACTGACTTCTCAGGTTACCTAACATAATTTAGCACACATGTAACATATGAAAATTAGCTCTAGGAAAGTTTCCTATCCTGAGGTGCACGTTTTTTTTATTTTGCAAAGCCATGTCTCTAACAAACAATTTTATCTATGTACATAATAATGATTTTTATTTTATTTAATGTAGTACGACAGTAATTGATATGCCGAAACAATCATCATCAACACGTCAAAGTAGTTCAATATTGATTAATGATGATAATCGTCTTCAAGCATATGGTTGGAGTTTATCATCAAAAAATCAATTAAAATTATCCGAAGTAAATGGTAAAGTTCAAGTTAATGTACCTGTTCCAGTTTATTGTCGACCAATATTTAATACAAATGATACAACACAAGTATATTCTTTTTAAATATTCTTTTTTGTCTTATTTAATTTTATTTAGATATGGTGTGCTGTTGGTATTGATCTCGATGGTTCATCATTAACTACTGATGATACATCAACAACAAATGAAACATCTGTTGATCAATTAAATAAACAATTAATTGAATCATATCATCAAATGATTGATGAACAATGTTTAAAACTATCATCAATTGTTTGGATTGCTGCTAAATCCAATGATACAGCTATGATTACAATTATTGATTCAAATAAAGCTGAAAAAGTTATTGATACATTTACATTAGGAAATACTGTTGTTTATACAATGGGTAGCGTTCCAGGTAAAATTAAAAACAGTATCATTTAATTATATTCTTTGTTATAAATTTCTATAGGACCATCAAGTACGGATTATTCACCATTTGATGATTCAAAATGGACTTTATTTGAAGCTGATACGGCATTAGCTAGTGGTAATATTTAAAGAAAAATTTTTATTAAAAAACTAAAAAAAAATTATTCGTTTAGATGTAAAAGTAACACCTTGTACTGTTTCATCCCTTTCTACAGGTGGAAGTAAGATTTCGTTATTTTCTTTTTTTTGTAAATAGATGAATCAAATTGTACGTTTTTTTAATTTGAGGTCGTTCAAGTACTTCAGAAACAGTTCCACTGGAATTAAAAGTATCTGAACAAGTTTTAGCTGATGTAGCTCGTCAACGTTAGTATTTTATTAATAAGATATCTATTCAATACATATCTTTTTTTGATAGAAGAAAAGAGAACTAGAGAAAATAGATCGTATTCTGTTTCGAAAGCATTTTTCTCTTGGTCAGGATTTGTTCGTCGAAAAGATAGTAACGCTCATTGTCTGGTTATTTTTTATGCTGCTATAATTGTTTTTTTTTTGACAAATTTCAATTTACACTCGCACGAAAAACAGATTACTTTTAATGTGAATTTTTCTTCTCTCTCGAAGTAATGATTTGGATAGAGAAATTTGTTTCCAATAAAGATGTTAGGAAAATAAGATCTAGATTATTTTCCTAAAATTTAGGATTTCTAGAAGATCGAAAGCCTAGTTTTCTAGTACACACAACCTATAAGTTTCTTTTGATTCTAAAAAGTGATAGATCAACTAATTATCTAGTAGAAGTGATATATCTAGGCTCTCTGCAACATTTTTTTCCATTTTCTAGAGAGTTAGTTGCTCTATCAGCCTGTATAATCAAAGGAAACTTTGACTTTGCAGTTCTGCATGCTGAAAACCAAGTTTTGGGTTTCTAAGAGATCCTGAGTTTTAAGAATGCAGTAGAGCTCATCGGGTGCAGAAACGTTGAACCGTACTTTGATACTCAATACAATTTTTCTAATCGGAATGGATAGTTGTTCTGAAGATACAAGATAGTTCTTTCTAGTTTTCTTGTTTTCGGTGATGAGTGTACTGTACGTATCTCACAGACACCTAAAGCCCGTCGGGTTCGAAACTAATCTGTGAGACTCTAGAATATAGTGAGGATTTTCTTTTTGCTCAAATGTTTGTTGGAAACAAATTTCTCTATCTAATCCACTATTCGAATTCTTTGTGCCGGTTGCTATTATGAAAAAAAAAATTAAATTAAATTTATTAAAATAAATTTTTGAAGTTACTGTATGTGAATATTTGTTTGTCTTTTAGCTGGAAATGAAGATAAGAGTAATTCTTCAGCGAAATATCCAACCGTTTGGTTAGGATCAGGTGATGGATGGTTATATATTCATTCAGCTATAAGTGAACACCGAAAAACAATTGAAAAAGTTTGGCTTCGACATGCTATTTATAGTATTGTGTAAGAAAAGAATTCTAAGAAAAAAAAACATAGGATTTATTTCATATTTTATTAGGCATGTTCGTGGTCGAGTATTTGTTGCACTTGCTAATGAAAAAATTGTTGTATTTCATCGTAATACAGGTATAAAAAAAATCTTAAAAAGAAAATAAATGAAATTATCGTTTAAATTTAAAGATGGAACATGGAATTTAAATAACATTCATTTAATTGTGACGGGTAAAAGTCGAGAATCAGTTCGATGTATGATTAATGTTGGAGAAACAATATGGTGTGGTGTAGCTAATCGAGTTTATGTTATTCATACACAAACACTAGAAGTTCGAGTATGTTGAAGATCTTTTTTTTATGACTTTAATTAAGAACTTCTTTTTTTATGATCGATTAGAAACAATTCGATGTTCATTCACGATCGGATCATTCTGTTCAACATATGACTTGGTCTGGTGATGGTGTTTGGTTATCAATTCGTTTATCAAGTACTTTACAATTATATCATGCACAAACATATCAACATTTGCAAGATGTTGATGTACAACCATATGTTGAAAAAATGATTAGTAAGCTTCTTTTATTTCAACAGCATTGATATGCGTATTTATTTTATTTTTTTTTTAGCAACAGAAAAAACTGGTCTTTATTTTGTTCATATTAGTGCATTGACGATCGCATGTCGTCGTCTATGGATTGGTACTGGTAATGGTATTATTATTTCTGTTCCACTTACTGACAGTAAGTATCATAGAAACATAATTTAATTAATCAAGATAAATATTATTGATTGGCATTACACTTAAGCTAAGAGATAGCAAATATTCAAATTACGTTAAGAATGAACCGTTGATAAATCTAAAGAAAGAGACAAGTTCAAAACAGAAAAAAACTCCCAAATGAATTAGTTGATATTTGCATTAACACCCCCTCTCTCTCTTCCTCAGGGTGAAAGTCAAATCTCAAGGTTATGATCTTCTAAATGTAATAGAAGACCAGCCTATCGGAACGAATGCAAAATAGTAATGTAAATTATCGTAGTGATGGATCTAGGGTTTTGATAAATAGAGACACTTAAACAAAAAGAGTGGGAGAATCAAAGTCATAAGAAGTGTTTTGAAGTACGATTAAAGGTTGTACTGGCTCAGTTTTGAGCGTTTTCTAATGAAGAAAACTTGAAAAATAGTTCGAAAGGAAGAAATGATTGTTCCCAATCCTTCTTTCTTAATCCACTATTGAACTATCGAATAGATTAATTGATTATTTGTTCGCTGTTTATTTATAACTTTTTTGATGGATCTAATTTTAGTTGTTCGATATGTTTTCTTTCAACGAACAAATGAGTTTCTATTGCGACGTTGAAAAAAGTGCACGCATTAACATTAATGAGAAACAGCTGTTCCAGAACTGATAAATAGGACAGAAACATGCTTTAATATTATTTTGTTATGGGATTATAGACAGTCTAGAAATAAAATGATTAAAATTTTTACTAAGTTGAAAGAAACATCAATATGACTTTAATTGAAAACTAAAATATTTGACAAATCAATTGAAATTACGCAAGAATTTATCAGTTTCAAAAAAACAAGTGTCAGTATACGAAAAAGATAATAATCATTATTGAAATACTCATAAGCTCAAAACTATCTATGTCATACAGATAAGAAACTTATTTGGTAATAAACGATTTTCTTCATACTTCTTTCAAAACAGGTGAAATGTATAACTTGTTACATTCCTGAATGATGTTGCCTATCTGAAACGTATAAGAAGTTGATTTCACTAAATTTTGTTTTTTGTCTAGATATATCAGCACCATCATCGAGTTCATCAACAACAAAACCTGGTTCTGTTGTTCGTGTCTATGATCAAACATCATCAAATTATATTCCATATTGTAGTATGAATAATGCCCAATTATCATTTCATGGTTATCGAGATGCTGTAAAATTTTTTGTTGCTGTACCTGGTCAACCACCATCGAAATTACTTCATGATGATGAATCAGTTAATTCAACATTAACTTCAAACACAACTGATACATCAACATTAGCGTTTGGTGATATACTTGTTGTAAGTGGTGGTGATGGTTATATTGATTTTCGTATTGGAGATTCAACAACAGAAAAACTTGATGATGTAAATAATAGCAATAGAAATATATCATATCTTATTGTTTGGCATTTGGGTTCGACTTAAATAATGATTAAATTACTTCCGCATTTTATCGCGTACCTATAAATATATATATTTTTTTTCACCTAGTCAGAGAAAAAGGAAAAAAAATGATCGATACTCTTTTTCTTCTTCGGTTTTTTTTTGTTTACAGTGATGTAACAAAACGCGATAAATTTCTCTATAAATGTATTGATAATTAATATTTACACTTCATATTTCCTGTCCTATTCTCTAAATTTATTATTTATTCTCGTTATTTCATTCTGTTTACACACTTTATTTTATTTGTTTTGAAAGAAAGAAAACAAGAACGAAAACAAATCTGTTGTTTGTTGGTTTTCATTTTGATGCTTGGACAGCTTTTAATACATATATATATATAGATGATTTCTTTTTGTGAACAAAAAAAACAGAAGAAAAAATAGAATTTTGAAAATATGTTTTACTGTTTTGTTTTGGTTTTTCTTTTTCGTTTTTTCTTTGAATTTTATTTTTTATTGAATTTTTCGTTTAATGTAATGAATTAAGCTGATGAATCAATATTAAGTTGTTCGAGTGCGAGAAGTGTATCAGTCATTTTATCTTTAAGATCATCTGGTATAAGATGAGGTCGTATATGAATTATTTCACCAATTAATTCATCAAAACCATTTTCGATTGATTCAATTAAGACTTCACGAACTATTCGATCAGAACATTTCGGTGATTCGATCAGTAATTTCGAACAGTCTAAATCCCGTTTATAAGTTGTAATCACCAATGGATGTGGATAGTTTTCATTTGACTGTTCAATAGTTGCATTAAATGCTAGAAGTAAATAGAGAATATTTGCTTGTCCATTGAAACAAGCTAGATGAATTGGGTAACATTCATCATGATTAGGTCGATCAGGATAGGCACCTTGTCGTAGTAAATAATCGACTAATTCATAATCATTTCGTTCAATAGCCATAAGAAGTGGTGTTTCACCTGAATTTGTACGTTCATTTAAATCAAAATTTCCATATTGACAAAGAAGTTCGACGAGTTTTACTGAACATTTATCTGAATAACAAGCAGCATGAAGTGGATTTGTTCCTAAGAGTATAGAAAAAAAAGAAAATCAATTAGTTTTTTTTTTGCAATCAAATAAAATAACAATTACCTTGACTTGTTTTCCAATCAAGTTTTGCCTTAGCCTCGAGTAATAATTTTAGACAATCGACTGAACCACAATGACAACAAGCATAAATAGGATTGAAAATAACACCATCCTCATTTTGATCTAAGAAAGAATTATTTTATTTTAGTTTTTAATTAATTTCTTAGCATTCTTTTTTTCCTTCATTTTTAACATACCAAATTCATTAACATCAAGTTCCATTTGTATTAATTTTTCAAGTATATCACTATGACCATAAAAAGCTGCAGCTGTTACATATGATGGACTTTTTTGATCATCAAGTTTAGCTCCATAATTACATAAAAGTGTAACAATATCCAAATTACCCGATTCAATAGCATACATTAAACATGTTTCACCTGTATTTGAACGTTCATTAATTATTTTTAATGTTGATGTATCATCCATAGTTTTTTGTTCATCTAGTAAATATTTTACCAGTGAATAATTTCCACTTGAACATGCATACATAAATGGTGTAAGACCATCACGATCAAATGTATCAATTGATGCACCATGTGAGTATAAGTATTTAACTATTTCAAGACGTTGTTCAAGTTTTTCAATAATTGCTTCATTTGATGGACTTACACGACGTGTATTATGTTCACTTAATAAACCACGACAAACAAGATGAACTAGAATATTAGACAAAACAAAATCGTCTTGTTTAGAAATTTCTATAAAAATTTTGTTTTTTTTTCTCCTTTAACTATACAAGATAAGTTTTCCATTCCGGAATATATAAACTTTTATTGCAGGAAGTTCATCGAGCATTACTTATATAACAAAGAAAAACCTCACTATTATACAAGAAACCATTATCTGACATATATTTTGATTAATGGTTTCGCCTGCTGAGTAATTAATGGATGTATATTTTATAGGTTTTTTTCTTTTCTTTTTTTTATATTTTAATTCTGACACAAAGATTCCCTGTTTTCTTTTTTTCAGATTATCTGATGTGGAAAATCGTCTTTTTTCATTCATTAATATTTAATATCTAATAACAAATTTCCTGTCTAAAAATGGTAATGAATATGTATGCATAACGTTTGATCATTTCCGCGCCAAGCTAGATTATTATAATTTTGACCTTGATTTGACATATACATAAAAGTTTTTTCTAGTTTGTTTTTTTTCTATTAAACTTGTTATCAATATATATATATATATTATTCAATAACCTTTTTTTATCCCAAGAGATATTCTCATTACACTTCTCGTTTTTTTTATAGGATATCCCTTGGTAATAAACTATTAATAAAATAAAACTTATTTTATTAATAAATAGATAACCTTGAAAAATAAATGACTATACATCTTAATTTTTTCTCTCACCTGGAGATCTTTCATCATCTTGATTTCCATTAACATTTGCGCCATTTTCCACAAGAATTTTAACAATTTCAAAATTACCATAAAAACATGCTTCTAAAAAAATTAAGTTTCTTAAGTCGAAAGCTTTTTTTTTAATTCTCTTATCAAAATTTTTACCACATAATGGTGTATATTGTAAACTATTTATTGCGTTGACATTAGATTTATATTCAAGTAATAATTGAACAACATGTTCATTAGTAAATTTAGATGCCCAATGTAAAGCTGTATCTTGACGTGATGTGACTAGATTAACATCAGCACCGGCTGCTAATAAATATTTCACAGTATCAGTTGTTTCGTCGACAATATTTTCAGGTCCAATACCACAGGCAAAATGTAATGGAGTAATACCTAGATAGAAATTTGAGATTATTTCATTTATATTAATAATAAATATACCGGAGAGTTGATCATTTTTCACAAATGTACATGTTTGATTTGGTTCCACTTTTCGTTCCTCAAGAAGATATTTAACTAGATTTGATAATGCATAACCTGATGCAGCATGTAATATTGTTAAATTTGGTATACCACTATAAATAACTTCTCGATCAAGTAATTCTTCAAGAAAATTTAATTCATTTTGTTTATAAGCTTGAAGAATAATTTCAGTACATAAACGCATATCTTGTGTACGTGATAGATCTAATAAATGATTAAGTTCAATATCAAATTGTGTACGATCATCTTGATAGAATGTTCGAATTAATAAATCGAACGAAGAATTATTATTAATATTGTCCGACATTTTATTTGTATTTATCTAGAAGAATAAGGAAAAAAAGAAAAATAATGATGAATGAATACTTATTTTCTATAGAAAAGGAAAGGTCTTTTTTTTTTAGTCATAAAAATAACTCTTCTTGCTCTTGCTCTCTCTCTGACACACTCTCGTTCCTTATGTTGATAGTTCTTTACTTTCACTACTTCAATGCGTGTGTGTATGTGCGTGTGTGTGTGCACAAGCCGTTGTCAGAGAAACTCAACGGCATCACTAATGACTGAACTGAAAGAATGAATAAGAGAATAGATGTACTATGTAATTTTAGGTCACATGTATCTGTCTCTTTTCAACACTTATCTTCTATTTTTAAAAACATATTCTCCAGACTGTTTACATGTATCATCTAAAAATATAGATGATAGGAAACTATCTTCAATAGACAATATATTTCAATAATAATAGCACTAACACAGACACTCTACCAATTTCCTATGCAAGTGCGTGACAACTGAAAGAAAAGAGAAAAAAGCACTGTCCATAGCCAAAGGAGCGCTTGAGTCAATTTGATTACATCAGTGTCTTTCTCTTCTTTGTTCTTGTAACAAACATTGAAGCAAAGAAAAAAAAGGAGAATAAAAAGTCTATGCAAATAAAAGCGGAAACATCCGCATGTCCGAATTACCAAACAGTCGTCGATCTCTTCTCTGTCTTTTCCTTCACTACATTGAATTCTAGACTGATGATCTTTTTCTTTTTCTCTCTCTCTCCCTCTTTCGCTCTTTCTTTCTTTCTTTCTCATGAGAACATAAAAAAAACGAGAGTTGATTGGAAATGAATGTCAATGACAACAACGAAATTAACAATGCTAGTATAATTTGAATGAATAGATAAATTATTAAATGTCGTTTTTTTTTGACCATGATAGTTTTCTTGATTGCTTTCAATCGTCATATTCATATCTTTAGATATAAATACAAATATATATGATTGGATTTGATCGACAGACACACTTGTCAAAATATTGGTTTCTTTATGGAATTTTTTTTTCTATTATATTAGCTTTTATTTATCCTGAATTTGGTTCCAAAGAAGGTCATTATTAATAAATATAATAATCGATCAAAGATAAAAATAGAAATAAAAATATTTCTTTTTGCTTTTATTCTTGTCTAGGTCCATTAAAACCTGAATGGACAATAAAATCATTAGGAACAATAATAATTTTTTTATTGAATGGTTGTTCAATACGAAGTGAGGTGAAACAAAAGGATTTAAATTGATCTTTTTGAACAAGATTTATTTTATTTATTTATTTATTTATTAAAATAGGAACTTTATCGAACAGTTCTTCAATATCGAATTCATTTATTTATTCAAATATTTTCATTTCTTATTTGTCCTTTTCTATTTACAATATTGTCTACTATCTATCGATCATTAACATATCAATACCAAGTTTCTATTGGGTAGAATTTCTTTTGATCAATCTCATCAATCTTCTTGTTTTATTTTTAGAATCAAAGCATTAGGAACTTTACCATCACCAGTATCTACTGCTGCTTATGTTGTTCGAGCTATTGGTGGAAATGAAGTAAATTCCAAAGAATCAGAAAATTTTTGTTTTTCATAACCAATTCATTACTTAAGGCAATTGCTATGCTTAATTCAACTCTTGGTAGCCTATTAGGAACAATGCTTACACCTATTCTTCTCTACATGATGGTTCGGTATTAAAGAGTGTTTTCATGTTTT